GTGACACGCCTCGCCGGGGACTAGCCGGATTTGTCTCCCTTCATAATCTCAATTTAAACTGTTGTCTCCGCTGTTGTCTCCGCTCTGTCTGAGTCTGGGAGCCGGATGCTGTGACGCGCCTCGCCGGGGACTAGGCGGATGTGTTTCCCTTTACGTCTCAATTTAAACTGTTGTCTCCGCTGTTGTCTCCGCTCTGTCTGAGTCTGGGAGCCGGATGCTGTGACGCGCCTCGCCGGGGACTAGGCGGATGTGTTTCCCTTCATACTAGGGAGACGCCGGTAACTTAGCCAGTTAGCAAGAAGTTAGGACATAAGTTAAAATGCAGTTAGAGACCAACTTATAAGTATACTTCTAAGTTAGTTAACTTGTCGCTAACTTTTTCTATGGTTTTTTTTTGCAATTGTAGACATCCTACGTTTTTTGCTGGATTAGGCCTATAAATCAACCGGAACTCGCCGTGAAACCAGTCACATGGAGAAGGACTCGTTTTATCCTCAGCACACGCCAATGCCACTAATGCAAGAGTGAGACAACGAGTTGACCATCAGCATTCCTTGATTCCCTGACAAAAGACACTTGGTGCATGCGAGACAGGGCTGTGACGTCCAGCAAAGCCAGAGGTTTATCAGAAGGGTGCCACTCAGTGCATCCATCATCTCTAGCATTCCGGTTGATACTCGCTGCTATCAAAGGCTCTACCAGCAAAAAGGTCCCAGGTTGCAGGGTTGTCGATTGAGCAGAAACAGCTAGGCCCCCCAAAGCCAGCACTGCCAGTTCAGGCGACAGCACGAAGTAGTCTCCTGACTGCGCCGTCAGCCCAGCAAAGCAGACTTTTTTCGCTAGCCTTGGAGGAGAGGAGCAGCTGAGAACGGCAGCCAAGTCCGGACATTCCCGGGTCGCACCCTCTAGCGTGGGTTCGCAGCTGCATCGCCCGTGGCCATCTCAAGCAGACAGGACTTGGCGAAAGCCCTGCCAGTCACATTGCATGCCACGTGCTTGAAGCGTCTGTGCTTCCTTTCGCAAGTGAAGCAGTCTATGAGGCTCCGCCATCTGAGGCATTGCTCGCGGATATGGAGGCCAAAGTGAATCTTGGGACGGTGTTGCCGCCCGTGTGCAACATCGAACTTCCGCATGTGGTCGGTTTGCAGCAAGAGTAAATTCTTGCTGTGAGACACATCTGTTTTGGATCGCAAGATGCAGAGGCACACACGATTCAAGGCCTTGAGCGAATCCAAGGCAGCGTCCATAGAAAAGACGTTCCCTCGGAGGATTTCTTCTCCAAACTGCACACAGATGGGTAAGACTGTTAGGCAAGCCCGTGCGTCACCCCGAAAGTCATGATTTTTTCGCCAGAGGTTGTGGGAAAACCAAGCCAGGATCTCGGACATGAACAAGCCAGATGCAGGGCATGCATTCCAACCTGTTTTCAAGTAGGTCTGGACATGTCCAAGGTTGAGGTCGCAGTTGTCAAGGAGAGCAGTAAACCAGAGGCCTAGCTCTTGTGCCACGACACCGTTGCTCCAATAGGCATGCATGGCATCAACAGCGCAGTCCTCGAGTTCTGCCCACCCAGACAGAGCAGGCGAAGTGAGGAAAGAACTGCTGAGCTCCTCCAACTTCCAACCCAGAAGTTTTTCAGCTTCCTGCAGCTTCGTGGTCGTCGAGCTCAAACTAACCAGCTGCTGGCGAATGTCGAGAAGGTTCGTGTGTGAGAGCGACTGCAGGCAGGCCGTGTTTGAGTTGGCAATATCCACGAAGCCCGCCGGTCTTGCACCGCCTAAACTTACCACATTGGCACACTTGAAGCATGGCCGGTAGGCACTGGATCCTTTCCATCCGGACAAAGCTCGCATGCCTTCGTGATCCCCCAA